AACTAATAATTATGCTACAAAATGTACATTGACTGGAAGAGGCAAAGATGTAACAACTGCAATTGGCAGTTCTGAGATTTTCAAAATCATTAAAAGTATGAACATTTATAATCAAATTTAAAAAAATCTATACAGTTGAATTTGGTTTTTTTTTCTTTTAGCTTTACGAGCCATTTAGGCTTTTAACTGCTTAGGGTAAATCTTTCCGTTTTCCTCTATCCCTTGATATGTTTTAGTTTATTTATTGTAATTGTGTAAGTTCCATTATAGTCCCCATATGCTGTCCACCGTGGTCTTGTTCCTTCCATTTCTTCACTTATAATTCTCTTCATTTATCTTCCATCTGCTCGCTAAACATGTCCCATTCCATTCCGATTTGGTTGTATGGCTATTATATTTTAAACATTTTATTTTTTTGACAGAAGTTATAAAAGAAACTATGATCACAGTAAAATTAACATAAACAATACTAAATAGATAGCCAATTATAATTATGCATATCTTAAAATTTTTTAAAATTGTTTTAATATGTTTCATTAAATTTATTCATATTCTGTTATTTAATGTATAGTTTTGGTGCCTTTTAATAAAGTTGACAGTATTATAGCATTCTTGTTTTCGACTTATTTTAGATAATTACTCGAAAGTAGAAAAGTTTAGGCGATATAAAATCTAGATATTTTAAAAAACTTGTCAATTTGAAAAAGAAAAAAACTCCTCAAATACAATTACAAATTAATTGTGCTTCAAATCTTCCAGATACACAAACTACCATAGGTATAAACAATAAGGTTATAAATACGTAATAACTAACATTTCATAATATTTGTTTGAGTTAAATGCAAAGTGAATCAAATGCAAATTTCTCTTCTTTAAATACTAACTTAAATTTAAATTTATCTGGAAATCAATTACCATGTATAAAACAAGAGCCCAATATTAATGTTAAAGATAATCTGCGACAATGGGTTTTAAAACATAATATCTCTCATAATGCTACTAATAGTCTTAATGATATTTTAAAAGAGGAAGTCTTAAATATACCACAAGATGTGTGTACTTTAATGAAAACACCTGAAATATCACATGAAATAGTTTCAGTGGTTAATGGCTCATATATTCATTTGGGAATAAAAAATATGTTAGTTCCAGTACTAAAAAAGTATTTTAATATGATTAATAAAAGTGATGGCGTTTTAATTTTGGGTAATAATGTAGATGGTCTCCTAATTTCAAATAGTTCAAAAAGGCAACTATGGCCAATTTAAATTTCAGTCATTAATTGCCAACCAATAAATAAATATGTACTGCCAGTAGGGATATTTCATGGATTAACAAAACCAGCATCTGTTAATGAATTTTTTCAACCATTTTTAGATGATTTCTTTGAAGTATCACAAAATAGTTTGTGTGTAAATAATAAATTATTTAAATTTGAGATAGGACATATAATCTGTGATACTCTTGCTAAAAAAATTTTGTTGAATGTGCTAGGACAAAATGCGTATTATTGGTGTTCATTTTGTACTCATGAAGGTGAATACATTCAACATAGAATGACTTTTCCTGAGATTGATGCACCTCTTAGAACAAATCACTCATTTCGCAGTAAAGTTTATGAGGAATACCATGAAGGTGACAGTCCCCTTGAATTCTTAGATATAGATATTATTAAAGATGTATTTTTAGATTATATGCACCTTTTATGTATTGTAATTACAAAACGTTTAATTCAATTATGGGTTAAAGGAAAGAAAGATGTTAGACTAATGGAAGAAGACAAATTAAATATATCAAAAAACATAATAGATATTAAGCCCTATGTACCTTCAGAATTTAGCCGCCAACCACGGGTTTTGGATGATATTGACTACTGGAAAGCTACCAAGTTAAGCTTTTTCCTGCTTTATTTTGGTTAAGTAATTTTAAAAGAAAAATTAAAAAAATCATTTTATACACATTTTATGTTGTTAGTTTCTGGTGTTAAACTATTAATAAACAATATTACACGCCTTAGCCAAAATGAAATTTTGAAAAACACTTTTTAACAAATGTATTTCTCAATATTCTTATTTATATGGAGATCACTTAATATCATATAATATACACAGTTTATTGCATCTCCCTATGTTTGTTAAAATGCATGGTCCATTAGACAGTTTCATTTATTTTGATTATGAAAATTACTTACACGAAATGAAATTCTCCATTAAATGTTCTAGATATCCTCTTCCAGAAATTTTTAATAGGTTTATTGAAAAACAAAAAAAATGTTAGCCCAATAGAATCACAATATTCTATAATATGTGAAAAAGAATTAGAAAATCGTAAATCAACTTTACATTTTAATCTAATTGATTAGCTTTTCAAAGAAATTATTTTAAATGATTGAAAATGAAAATAAATATTGAAAAGGAAAGCGATAAATATGTAAGTTTAAAAAATAACTATATTGTCAGAGTGAAACACATACTAAAGCAACATCATACATCCAATATTAAATTAATTGTGCAAAGATTTTTAAATTTTTCACCATTTTATATGACCCCTGTTAATTCCTCAGTTTTTGGTTCATTTATAGCAGATAAACAATATTCTGAATGTTTTTCAATAGGTTTTGACGAAATAAAGAATAAATGTTTTGTAATTTCAATTAGTACAGTTAAAGCTATTATTTTGGATCTGACACATGGTTACATTGAATAATATATTTTTTTTATTTTCTTTTTTACTAGTATATTTATGTAAAAATATAATTTAATGCATTTTAAAGTCGCAAATAAATATATGTACTATGTTCATCATTCATAATTGTTTAGTATTTTAATATAGTATAAATTAATTTTTATTAAACTGTAGTTAGTAATAATTATATATACATGGGTACCTACCNTATTATTATGGATCTGACACATTGTTACATTGAATAATATATATTTTTCATTTTCTTTTTTAATAGTATATTTATGTAAAAATAAAATTTAATGCATTTTAAAGTCGCAAATAAATATATGTACTACGTACATCATTCATAATTGTTTAGTATTTTAATATAGAATAAATTAATTTTTATTAAACTTTAGTTAGTAATAATTATACATACATAGGTACCTACCTACACTACCTTTAATATTGATTATTGGTATTATACTTAATTTTAATTTATTGATTTTGTTCTCATATATCAAAATGTGTTCAA